GCATACCATGGTCACGGTGCCCTGGACCGGAATCTAGGCTTATATTCGAAACTTGTCCCTTCCATCCCCCTGCTCTATATCCACGATAGAGCTTCTCGATAAACTTGTAATACGACCGAAGGAAAAATAACTATTAACCCTGTCCTGTTTTTCTGTCTCTCTCCGCCGACCTATTTGCACAGCTATCATCCCCTATGATCGAGTTTTTAATCTTCTCTCCATCTTTCCATTACGATTGTTCGATTGATACATGTTCGATATTTTACTTATTATACAAACTTTCATTTGGCAAACTTTTTTAAGGAACCCTTGATTCTTTTTGCATTCTAAAAATTATTATTTGGAGCAGATTTGATTGTATATGAGTATTAGGTGTTTTATGGAATATATAGGTATGTGTGCATATGTGTATTAAGATGGTACTACATGTACTAAGGATTAGTTAAGAATATGTAGGAATATGTAGATAGACAGATAGGTACATGTGCATGTATAGATAGGTATGTCCATATATACATGTGGAGATACGTGCATATGTGTATATGTATACATATGCATATGTGTAAATAATGCTTCCATCGAATAAATCTGTTTACATAAATTTACATAAAACTTGAATTTGATTTTTCCAATATGTAATATGAACCAAATACTACTATAACAGACAACTATAACGAACATGATTTTTACAAATGTTACAATATTACAATAATATAGAAACTATTACACTTCATTGTTTTATCTCTCCCAAAAAAATTTGTTCCCACATAAAATCATCTCTAAACCACATAAACCATCTCTAAACCACATAAATCATCTCTAAACCATATAAATCATCTTCAGAGGTATAAAAGGAATCGAAACGAGTATGAGATAGATACCTCTCCAACTCGTAACTCTTTGGAACAACTTAAACCACCGCCATTGAACAATAGAGGAAATCTGTTAATACCAGCACGAACGACAATGGCGTGAGCGGCTCTCGAATACCTTTTTACCGGCGCTAATCCGAATTCGACGAGAGCGAGGATAAAGCGACCATCGTCCCGGAACGATGCGCAGCGTCCATGCAACGATGACGAGGGCCACCAGGGATAAAAGAGACGGCAACGATGGAAAAACTGATTTTTGCCGCGATACGCGACCTCGTCGAGACACGACTCGTCACCGTATGGCCGATCGACGAAAACCGTTACACGGCTGCCCGAACTACGTTAACATCGATATTTCCCATGTAAACTACCGCTGTTTCCCGAGATTTTCCGGGTACAACTGGGCACCCCTAAAGTGCTTTTCCGTCCTCCGTAAACGGGCTTGGCGTGAACACGTTTTCGGTGCGTTTCGAGCGTAATCCGCCTGCAGAACGCATGGGAAAAATGTCCAGAAAAATTGCTGAACATAGGTGAATTTTTATACTCGGAGATGTTTTAGGGAGCTTTCTGTAACGTTTGTAAAAGGGTAACCTAACTCGAATGTACTGATTTTGACTGCTGAACAAAATGTGCAAAATAGTTGGAGAGGTGATATGAAATCGTGGATATCGTTTCAAAGGCATTAGTTCCTTGTGGTAATAATTTAGATGACTTAAGTACAACACCCTATATGTTTGTATCTGTAGCACCCTAGTGCTACGAAAAGCAGACTTTCATTTGGTAATTCTAAATCGTTGTATGAAAGATTGAATGTTCATATTTGACCAATTTTACGACCCCGCTGTAGAATGATTAAGAGTATAATTAGTATTCTCTGGCCAGTCAATTACCGCGCAATCGTGAACTGCTCGATCAGCTACCGAATCAGAGTACGACTCGTCTGATGTCTTCAGGTTCGTAGTGGTCATGCGCGAGGAGGTGTCGCCCCATGTCCAGGCCGCACTCCACGCAGGCCGACGCAACGTGCAATTTTAATCCCGGAATTACTTCCATTTTATTCCAATTTTCTTGCATTTAAACCGTCTAAGCGAGTTTACCTTGGCAATATCATTGGAGCGTCGTGCAGGGCGAGATGGTCGGCCGAGAAAGAAGAAAACGGTACGGGAAGAGAAAACGTTGAAGATGGGCGGAGAGATGGGTCGGAGATGGAGAAGGTGGAAGTACCTACTCTAATAAATTTACGACCTAAAATGGTTAAGCCGCGTTAGCCCTGTTCTTTATATTTCCGCGAGAGGGAGGTGGGAGAAAGAGGTACTCAGCAGCAGTTCTCTTTTCGAGGGAAACATCGTTGTACACGAGACAAGAGTCAAGGGTGGAGGACAAGGAAGGACAGATAGAGGGATGAAAGACGAGAAGAAGTGGATATATAAGAGATACGAAGGGAAATTCGCTTATTTTCCCATCATTTCGACGTGGCATCTTGTCCATGGCCTTTCCTCATCCACGGAGCCAGGAAAGAAAATTGCTTCTCGTCCTCGAAAGCGGAATATCGTCCTGATGAGCCCGGGAATGCCTCGATATCCGTCCCCCAGATGTACCCCTCTCGTCTCGCTGCCTCGGCTTCGTTTCTTCAACGTTTTCGACCGTTTCGCCGGTGACGATAATGACAACATTCAATTTATTCCGTTATTATTCGAACGCGACACTTCTTGCAACTGCGTAAAAGCACCGGGGGAATTCGTGGAGTTAAATGGGAAATTACGGAGTGGATTACATAATAAAAGAAGGCAGAGGTGCCACTGTCGACGAGATGAGACGCCGAGAATTCGTTTGCGACGCACGCGCGTTATGCCGCCCGTCGCGTCCCTCAGACAGGGAGGATATTCGGTGCGACGGAAGTCTTTCTGGGAAATCCGATTTCGGGATCTGCAGATTCTCCAGAAATCCGATTGCTTTATTCGTTGTATCCTGCTTCGTGAACCAATGACTGTGTAAACGATAGGAATTTACGCGTGAAAATATATCTTGTTTTATAGTTCTGAAAATTTACAAGAAATGACGTTTCGTATTTTAAATTACAGTACACACGTTTATCAGCATCATAGGTTATGAATTAAAAGTTTGCATAAGATACATATAAGGATACATAAGATACGTATTAATGGATGTTTCTTATTGTAACATAAATTCTTTATTTTCTTCATTTTGTGTAGATGCATGTAATATGCAACACGGAATGCTTGTAAAGAAGTCAAAAGTCCCTGTGAGTTCTTTGACGATCATTTAATCTATCATTTATACTGCATTATATACAATAATACACGTATCGTAATATCCCATAATGAGATATATAATTAACCACCGTCATGTGTTTTATTCATTAATATTTATTATAATACATATTAAGTGAATTCTAGTACATTACATTATACTGTATTATGGTATATTGTATATTATTTTATAATCATGTGTTATAATATTATTAACTACATTCTCTTTTGAAACCCATCGAAATCTTACAATCTCAATTTCGAATTAAAAACATGAATATACTTTCGCACAAATTAACTGCCATTAAAAACTTATTACACAACGTTCCTCCATTAATTATATATTTGTCAACGTGAATATCAGTTTAAAAGTAACATGTACATCGAGAGTATTAAATACCGGTAGCGAACGTTAAGCAACTTTTAATCGAGCAATTAGCCCGTCCGTTACACACTGTACACATGAATCAAGTAATTCAGAAACACTTAAAGCAATTCCATTTCTGCTCTCCTTGGGAATCGATCATTTACCCATAACGATGACTGGTCTGAACAGCCCACACGAACGTGACTATGCGATTTATGGTCGACCAAAAAAGGATGATCGAGTCTGACCACTTCACTGCTACCATCGATGGATCTTTCTCTCGTGTACAACCGAACCCGTTCGTACATTCGTCACAGACAGGCTCAATAGGGCCTATCGGCGTGTCTTTGCGGCACTGAATAATTCATAAGTCGAGAAGCCAGCAGCCTCGATACTTATCGCGATAGACTTTAGCGGGCTGCCAACAGCAGCCATGTTACAATAAAGAAATCAACATGGCCGACCGTCCTTTTCGTCCCTCCTCGACACGGCTGCCGTTCTTGCCCTTCTTCGGTCCACCTTGGGCGAGCACCGTCACGTCGCTCACTTTCGATTTTGCCCCACAGTTACCCTCGTTACCCTCTTGATGTCGAAGGGTGGTCCCCGCACCGACTCACCCTACGAGCTCCCTTCTTACCTCATTTTCTTGGCCTGCGCTGCCTTCCAGGGGTGGACCGCCCCGCCCAGAGATATTTCTCCGCAACCCTCTTTTCCTACCGAGAGCGAGCGAGACGGTGAAATTGAAGAAACTAACGCGTTGGATGGAGAGGATGAATGAGAAGGAGAGAAGCTGCGGAATTGAAGCGAACCAGAGAGTCTCGAGGGGAGAGACGAAGACGGAATTCAGGAAAGAGAGAGAAACGGGATAAGAGAGCTTTGGCAGCCACTTTTCTCACCCTGAACCGGGATACACGACGCCAAAGGAACTCCATTTTCTGGCTACCTCTGCTTAGCGATTGTCTCTCTTTGTCTAACTCGTCGTAGACTCTTCCTGTTCCAATCTTGTTGGAAAAATTTCTTGAGTGACCTTTCTATCGGTGTGTTTGGAATTTATGTTCTTTCTCTCTGAGAGTATATTTGCACAAGATGCGTCAGATTGGTACGAGGGTTACTTTTTCTAGCTGCGTAGAAGATGCTTTTGTCATTTAGGTTTTAGGACGTTAGGTTTAATAATGACATTAAATATGTTTAATAATTTCACGTTAGATTTAATACATTTTACTGATATAATACAATGTTGAATAACTTTCAATTCACTAATGCTACACATGTTAATATTCTTCGATTACCTTCTTTTACTAAAATGTGAAAGAAATCTTCAAAGTTACTGAACTTACTGATATAACTTCTTGTATCATTTGATCAATACCTTAATACTCGTATCAATTATTTGATCAATATTTTCATACTTGTATCAATTATTTAAATTCCTTAAATAACAACGAAGTTATCATTCAACGTAATATCTTTTCCTGTATTTTCGTGTTGCAGGTCTGGTTCCAGAACAGGCGAGCAAAATGGCGTAGGCAGGAGAAAATGGAAGCCGCAAGACTCGGTCTCAGCGAATACCACGCGGCAAATATGAGGTAATATTCTTATAAAATTGTGTGGATACTAATGTTCCGTATTTACGAATACACGAGTTGATTGAAGTTTACTATTGTATCGCAGAAACGTGGCTGGGCCAGCTTTGGGTCTACCAGGTGATCCTTGGCTGACTCCTCCGGGATTATTAAGCGCTCTTCCTGGCTTCCTGGCTGCTCCTCATACGGGATATCCTAGTTATCTGACATCACCTAGACGATTACCGTCTCCACCGAACGTTGCCACCGTTGCAAACACTGTGCCAGGTAAAACATTATTACAGTATTTAATTCGAGGCAATTGTGTTCATTTATTGGTGGTTATATTAATGTGAGGGACAGTGTTTCAGTTGATTAACTTAAATTAGGTTCAATATTAGATTGATTCTTTAATAACATCTCCAGTTTATGACTCGTATAATTTATGTTGGCCATCGTGGATTCACTAGGTTTAAATTTTAAACCTAACCTCAAATTTTGTAGTTGTTCAAGAACTATTACACATATGTAGACTTTTAACCTACTATTCATCGATTAAAGATGACATATGAAGATTACCAATTTTTGTACATATATTATAAATTCTTTCAGCATATATTTGTAGAATTATAAATAGTGAAGTTGCAATTTTTTCTAACCTCAAAAAGATTCTGAAGTGGTTGAAGTTTAATACTGTTTGTCTGTTGAAATGATCTTAAAAATTTCACAATGTACAGTGCCCTATCAGTTTGGTGATTTAAGTGACCAATTGACTTGTAGCCAATTATTTGACTTGTATGAACAATTATTTGACTTGCATCAAGCTTGTAAATGAGGTAATAATAAGGAGAAATAAATAGGAAACGAATGATGTTAACAGGAACCCTAAGCGGAGGAATGGCGAGCATAGGAACCGGCGGCCACGTTCCAGCAGCACCTCCCAGTCCCCCGGGACACGATCTCCGCTCAACCAGCATCCAGGCTCTGAGAATGCGAGCCAAAGAACACGTCGAAAGCATCACCAAAGGGTTGCAAATGGTCTGAAGTTTAACGTACAACCGAGGAAGGCAACAGACCGAGTTGGAGCGTGCCATAGCCACGCTTTTAACACCGCGGGCGTGACCGAAAGCGAAACTACTCTACCTTCGACCCTTCGACCACGGAGAATGTCCAGTAGAAGCCAGACAGATCGACAAACAAGTTCTCTCGCTCCTTTTTCTAGTTGCTGGAACGACTCGAGTTGGTCGTTTCCCCTGGAATCGGTTTATCGGTTATCGAGCACCTCGACGAGAGAAACGGACGATTATGAAACGCACGAATCTCGATGGTAATCGAGAAGCAGCTAGTCGCTGGTCCGATTACTGGCTGATTGGTAAATGAAATTTGTTACGTCGCTCTTTGATACCAGTCGATTCGAGTTCGCCGGAGAAGAGAAAAGTCAAACTAGTTCATAATAGTGCAATAAACGAACAGAATGGTCAGAGACTTTTCGTAGTGTTGAGGAGAGTAGATGTAAGGTCAGAGACTTGTTAGTGAACCGAGGACCCCTTCCTGAACGATCAGTAAGTAATATGTTATAGTTCTAACAAGAAGACGTGTTCTTTCGAATGGACGTTGAGACTGGCGAATATCTGGACTGTTCGGTTTAACGCGTTAGCAATTTGAAACTTTAAGTGGATCTGAAACCTCCCTTCAAAGGATTAACTGATATCTGAACGACATCGAATACTTTGATGATATTTTACAAATGGACGCACATTAATGACGCGATGTGTCGATGTCGATCTGATATCAGGCGCTGTCAAGTGGACAGCCTTATCAGGTAGCTTCAACTTAGCAACATTAGCATTTTCGAAAAAGTATTGATCGAATTAGTTGGCTGACGTGTTAAACGCAATCAAGTATCGAGACAATCGCATGTGGATGCATATCAATCATGAATTTATAACAATTCTTGACATTTATACCCACGTTAAGGGTGCAGATTTAAAACTTCGTACTTACAATTTTTTTAAACTCTCAAGATACAAACTAAACGTCTACAAAATCTGAATTACATAAGATACTAGAGTTATTTAAAGAAACCTGACAAAATTTTATTTCCTGCACTCTTAACGTAAAAAAGTAAATTCCTAAATGTGGTAAAAGACCGGCAGAGAGAATTATCAATGAGATGAATTGGTACAAACCGAGAAGGGTGAACGACCCCATCGGCCAAGAGGATCGTGTAAACTGATCTTGTATCCGAAATACGTTTAGCATAATTGTTTGATAATCATGTACGAGCCTGGTGAACAGCGACACGATTCGTGCTATTTTAAAACGTTTGTCACTTGCGCTTCTACGTCGACGAGCGACGGAACACGTGTAAAACTCATGCAATTTTATCTCCGAAACAGAGTCGAGTGTCCTGCATTAAACAAGCGAATGCTCTTCCAGAATTTCCTATCGAATCGTTCGATCGCGAAATCAATATCGGACTGGATCGAGCTGCGACGAACCCTGACAGACTAAATCCAATATTTCTTGTAGCATAGACTCGAGGTGCAGACAGCGCGGGAGACGCATTTTGGCATAAACAATATTCTGCAGTATTAATACGTTAAGGCGAAGAATTGTGCATAAGTACGTAATAAATGACTACGGTATGTGAATTTCGGTTGCATGGAAGGAGACTGGGATGCGGCGATTTTGAGATAGGGTTTTTGTTGTTAAGAGTTGTAAATTTACAAATTTTCAAGTTAAATACGTTTGTAAATTCATCTCTCAATATTCTAATTGTCAAATGTCTAAATCTCTGAATTTCATAATTTTCAAATGAGTAAACTTCTGAACTTCTGTACCCTGAAATTCCTAATATGCAAATTTCAAGTCCCTAAATTTCAAGTTCCTAAATCACAAGAAATAATCACATTTCAATCATAAGAAATAGTCATACAAATCAAATTCTCAGATTTCCAAATGACCAAATTCTGAGATCACAAATCTCCGTATCTATAATTCCCTAGATGCATAAATCTGTAACTTTCTAAATTCCTACATTCCCAAATCCCCTAGATTCCTAAATCTTCAAATCCCCAAATTCTCAATTTCCCAAATCCCCAAATTCTCAATTTCCCAAATCCCTAGATCCCCAAATCCTTAGATCCCCAAATCCCTAGATCCCCAAATCCCTAGATCCCTAAATCCCTAGATCCCTAGATCCCCAGATCCCTAGATCTCCAAATCCCTAGATCCCCAAATCCTTAGATCCCTAAATCCCTAGATCCTTAAATCCCTAGATCCCTAAATCCATAAATCCCTAGATCGAAAATTCCCTAGATAGAAAAATCCCCAAATCCCTAAATCCCTAGATCGAAAATTCCCTAGATATAAAAATCCCTAGATCTCCAAATCTATAAATCCCTAGATCAAAAAATCTCTCCATTCAAAAATCCCTAGATCCCTAAATCGCTGCAGCCAAAAATACCTGAATCCCCAAATCTCTGGACTCTCAAAATCCCTAAACCCCCTAATCTCTAGATTCAGCTATTCCTAGTTCCCTAAATTCCTTTTCTCTCAAATCCCTAGATCCCCAAATCGCACTTCAAATCTCCAGATTCGCCTTACCTTATAAACTTTCATAATTTGAATAAAAAATCAAGCTTCTCACCAGTCGTCTTCCATGCGAATCGAGAGAGAAAACAAGTAGAGGGTGAAAAAAGAACGTAGACAGTTACCCACCCCCGAACGTCTATTTGTATATATACCTGCTCGTGGTAAAATAAAATTTGATGTACATATTTAATCATACCACACGTTCGTTCCCACAAACGATCCCTCAAATAAAAATCAGAGTAGTCCACGATCCTTCCCGAAATAAAATTGCTCGTTTTCGCGAGCGTTCCTTCCGATCGATCCTTCTCGAGGTCAGCTTTTAATCCACGCTTTTTCTTCCACTCTTTTTTTACTCGGACATTACTCGATTTCTTCCGCGGATTATTTTTGTTCTTTCGCTTTCAGGCATAAGCGTTAATAGCGAAAGAAAATGATCTCGAAAACGACTGGAGAAGGCCGTGTCGACGCGGTGGCGGATTTTTAATTGTTTCCGCGCGAGGCAGCGCGTATTTGTTAAGGAATTAGCATTTCAAAGAACGATTTCAATTAAGGCTTAATTAATTTCGCGGAGAGCGTCGAGCCAAGTTGGCGGCTCATTGTTCGCCTTACTTTCGACTTAATTGAAATCGAAGAACCACTCGGGCGAACTCGAGCAGTCGAGAAATCGAGCGAGACAAAAAAAGGACGGAATTATTAAAAATCGTCTGAGCAACATATTTGACGGTAATCGAACAACCAATATTTATTTTTACAATTATTTTGCCATTCTTCGATTTTACGGTTCAGTGATTTATAGGGTCTGGTCAATTTTCGGGTTATTTTTGGTAGTTGGTCTACTTTTATCAAAATCACCATTTTAGTCAGCTATTTTTTGTCAAATTATAGAATGACTTTTCTAACATTTTTTCTTTGTGTGGAATTTTTTTTAAACACATGCAAATATTTCGGATAACTTCAAAAATATTTTCTTCAAGTTACTTGTAATTTTATGGAACAATTTCTTTTTATAAATTTTGCAATTGTTTTTGTAGAATAATTTTCTAAAATTAACCTTGCACTTGATTCTCTTCTCTGAAGCATTTGAATGTCAGAACATTTGAATGTTAAAAGCCTTCGAGTTCAAAGGGTTAGAAGCATGATTTAATTTAAGGGTTAGATACAGTTTGAGTGTATCAGAGTGCATAATAAAATTTTGAAGAACAAACAGAATGTGTACACTATTGTACAGAGTACAATTTAAAATAATTAATGGTACAACCGTATCGATGAACGGTACAAGCAAAAAGCGAGGAAAACAAGGTACAATGATTCGCCGTCCAAAACCGATGATCGAAATCATGCTGCAAAACCCTCGGAGTTAAAATTCATCGCCGGTGCCATAGCAGGCGGTTACAAAGGATCGTTTGAAAAATCCAGCCAGGCTGCACGAATCGGTAGCGAGGGGTCCACGAAGGGGGTAGTTGGTTATCTTTTTCGAAGGTGGTGGAAAAAAAAAACGGGCGGGTGCAATGACGGGGCGTGAAAGGATTCGACGTTAACAGCACCAACAACGCCGGCTCGCTGGAACAATAGTGCTGAATGGTCCCTGAACGATTAGGTATTCCAATCGTCGCGTTAGGGGTCGCTGTGAAGTGCGGCAGAGAGGGTTGGAAGGGGCCGGCGGTAAGAGGGTGGCAGAACTCGCCCAATAAAATGGTAATTCCTGTTTGCAGAAGTTAACCATGCGAGCGAGCCTGGAGATTCGAGTCCATGCGTACTCTCTAACTCCAAAGACTAATAATACTCGGGGCCGAAGCGAGCTGCCAACACCGATATAGTTGTACGGAAGAAACCCTGAAAGCTAGTTTGATCTTGAATCTTCTGATAGAGTGCGTGAGAAGTGCACGTGGACGAAAGAAATGGGGAACGCGTCATGCCGGAAAAATAGGGAGCGTTTAGAACTCTTTTGTATTGCAGTGTTAGGTTATGTGTGTTTAAAGATGTTAAAGATGTAAGGTTAAAGATTTATTTTAATAGAGGTTTGTTTTATTTTTAAATCCACCATGTGTAGACTTTTTACTGTACCTGTTGCATTTTTCTCTTATTTAATTATTAAAAATTAATACATTCGGAAGTTCTTTTGCTAATTTTATCGAGGAACTCCTTAACCTATGATTTTTTTTATCAAGACTCTTCTGGTCAAATTATAAGGTTTCTTGCAAATGGCTTCATATTATTAAGAAGTACTCGTTGCAGTCAATAATTGCAATGTACAATTTACTACTACTTAGCAACGAATTTTACAATCAGCCAATGACATTTACTGAAATGGTTCTACATCAGACCTTTATGGAGCTTCAAATCGACATACGTCATATATTTCAAAACGCAAATGAAAATAAACTTGCAAATAAATAGACAACACTCAAGGGTATCTCTAAGGTATTTGAAGTAAACGTTGCAATTTTCGACGTTAGGAAGTGAAGACATTCTACTTCCTAGAAAGGATAATAGCGCAATTTGTGCTTACGTATTGAGGTAACGTGGGTGATAATTGATTGTAGACGAGCGACCGGTCAGCAATACACGCGTATATCGTGTTAAGCAACGGCTTGGAGATTGGAGGCGGCAAGCAATCTCTTAAGGGTTGAAATTGGCACGGAAATCGTGGCTTTATTAAATTTGTTTAGGGACCAGGTAAGGGGATGAGGCGGCAAGAGGCGGAGGACCTAGATTCTGGCAGAGACGTCGTCTGTCTAATATTGCTCGATGCTTGGCCTGCCTAACCTTATTGCCTCGACAAAGTAAAGAACCGACAAGGGAGCCGAATAAGACCAGTTTAGGACCAACCAGATCAATGAAACACCAAACCAACGGGGCGGAATGTTCAAACAGTCCTGAAGACAATTCGGTGGTTACGTTGGAAATGGATACCTAGCTTTGGCTATGACAGGACCGTTCGCTTCGCGGTTCCTCAGATTGCTGATCTGATCTTGAGATTGAGATACGTTGTTTGCCAATCTCCTTGTTTTTCCACGTTGGATGCTTTAGAACTCCACTTCATTCCATTTTGGATACTCGAATTCGATTGTTAGAAATTATTTTTAGTATTAACCTTCGAATTTCTGCACTCGTGTTTTTTATTCAATAATAAAATTTCGAAACGATAGGTTAGGTAAATTGAAGGAAAAATTACGAGGAACATTTCTTTCGTATCAGTAAAATAATTCCAAATTTGCATCTTCGGACAAAATATGCAGACCTGAATTTCAAGGAACTATTTGTTTAAATAATGTACTAAAAGATAGCACCTCTTTGAGAATCGTTTTCACCCAAAATTAGTCTCTGCTTCTGTGCATATATAAACTATAAGGTCGGAATAAGAATTTTCACTTTTGCATTATGGAAATTATACCAAAATCCAAGATGTCACATATGAACACACAATAAATCACTAAAGCGATTCACATTAAATCACTAAATGTAATTGCATAAAATATCAGTCTGAATCGAACACAATGGTAAACGACCAATGTTCCTTTAATCCACGAGAAACAGAAAGAAGAGGAAGTAGAACGCTGCAAAGAAGCGCAGAGAAGAGAGGTGAGTAGAATGCACCGACGCGGCGCAGTCCGACTGTTTAGCATTATTAATTAGAGTCAAAGTCATTCTAAGTTGGCAAGTACATAAGCAGAAATAATATTTGCACTGGCGTTCATTAGACGTGGCAGAGGGCACGAGATGGCGCCGCAAACGGGTTGGATTCTCATTAAAATAACCTTGCCTTTCCTTTTCGCTGGCTCTCCCTTCGCCTTGTTCGCGCAGAAAGAAAGAGAGGAAAAAAAGGAGAACAGGAAGAAAGAATAAAATGAAGGAAGGGAACAAAGTGAACCATCTCTCTCTGTGTCGTCTCCTTTTCCCTTCCGTTGGACAAGGACAGGGTGAAAGGGGGATGAACATGACGGGAGAGATAGCGGGGTAGAGTTACGGGGGTAGTTTGGCTACCACTAGGTAACTTAAATGAAAGTCGCGGTTACCCCCTTAACGCGAAAATACGCTCAGGGAAAATTTCGTTTTTTCACCCTGATTAATGTAATACCCGACGTTGCTGCTGCTGGCCACGCTAATTGGTCATTCTCTGCTCACCTTTGATTCTCCTTCCAACGGCTTCACCACCTGCAGCGAACCTTCCTTCTTCCTCTTCACGGAATGAAAATAAATTTTACCCGTATGGAGGATTAAACGGTAACGCGCGAATCTGCGTTCGAGGAAGCGGGGTGGTGAGCTTCCCGTGAAATTTTCATGCGGAACTCGCGAGAAGTTGAAACGAGTTTCGTTAAACGACAGAGAGCTTTTATTAGGTCTCAATTTAAACGAGGATCATTCGCCATCTCCATTACAAATGTTACATGCATCCTTGATTCTTCCTTTTAAGCTTCCTCGTCTGCGTCTTTTAACGTCTATTGTACTGTTTTGTTATTTGTCAAT